TAAATACTGTGAGGCGCGGTACAATTACCACCGCTGATGACGGAAGCCTGTAGGCTTTTGAAACGTCAAGACGATAGAACAATGTTTCACGAGATCGTCTTATCTTCTCATCTATGCATATAAATATATATAAATCTACATAAGATTAATATTGGCAGAGATTGGATCAGAACGCTAAAAGCTCTGGTGGGTTTTACGAGTTGGTCACGTCAAATACTTCACGAAACAATGGAATGCGCACAAGTGAAGTGTGACCAGGTTGGGTCGTGTGAATTACGCCGTGGCAAGACTAGCATGAAGAATTGCTTTGATCTACCACGCCAAAGTACCATATTTTGAGCGACCAAGTTGTCAGCACCGATTAAGATGAACCCCTGAGGCAAACAGGGCTGGTCACTTTAATTACTGCGTGCTTTGCCAGGAGCACGTGCTCAAAATGCCAAGTAATTCACAACACAAGTGTGGCATATATAAGCCTACTTGTGTTACTAGCCTCTGTCAGACATGATGTTCTTCATTTTGAGTCTTATCTGGTTCTTGCCGTTTGCGGGTAAGTATCTCAGCTATTGTCTTAATATTTTTAAAGTACAACCTGCTTAGATAAGAAAAAGAATATTGAAATCATATTTATATTAACATACTTTATAAGGTGTGTAAGATTCGGAAAAGTAGGCCTTTCTTCGGTTTCTTTTTGTTTAAGGAAGGAAGTGCTTTTAAAAGAAATGCAACTCAGTTAACTTTGATGTCAGCAGTATAGAGCAAAATCGTAATTGTAAGCTTACTGTCAAATTGCAAGAGACTTCTTTAATTATGTGTTACTATCAGTAGACCACGACGATTTTTGTGTCAGTATCTCCAACTAAGGCATTTAACACTCGCGTACACCTTTATTAAATGTCAGTGTGTTCGAAAATTTCTCTCCATATTTTTGTAAATATAATCTTATAAAACCGGATCCAACTTGTTTTGAGAATTACCCGCAGATACTTATCTCAATGGGTGTGAACCATTCATCGGAGAAGACAAAAAAAATGCGTTCTTTAAAAGTTCCTTTTTTGTACTGCTTCTAAAACAGAATCCTGACGATTTTCTTCTTTTTTCTTAAATTCATTCGTATCATTCGAAACATATGCCACCATCTTATCGCAAACAAAATACTTGTGACTCCCTTTGTGTATATATGGTTGGCCCCATATTTTTCGCTAAGCAGCAAACATGCAAGTATGTTATTTTTCAAGAATGCAGATAATTGCCCTTCTTTTAACTAATGTTTTATATGAAAGGGAATATGTCAATCAAACGTTTTTTTTTCACTTTAGCGAGAGCCCAGGAGGAATTGAACACGAATGTCATTACCTCAAAGGAAACAAAGTATACTTGGGTTAGCGTCCGTCTTCCTCACGCCCCAGACGTAAGTTCCTTTGCCCTCTGAGGGCATGTTAACCGATAAAATTTTCTGTAGTTTAGAGCTGACGGGTAATGTGGCAATGAGTGCAGTAACTAACATTTCCTTTAGACATATACCAAAAAGTAAAAATCGCCCAGCTTTCATGAAATCAGACTATATATAAGAAATTTCCATATTAAATGTAATCATGTTCAGACACTGTCTTTAACATTCAATGCATGGATGGATGAGGTTTAAACAACCAATTCGCCAGCCTTTGCTACGGGTCAATTCATTCATTCCAAAAACCTTTTTATTGTTTTCGGAGATGCCGGCACCGATTACAGTAAACCTTTAGTATTCTGAAACACAAAAAACAAGTTGTATTAATGCTTTAAATAATGACATATCAAGAGGTGGTAACCGCAATGGAAAAGCAATGTGAAATGTTACCAAGGTTCCGCGGTTTACTAAAAAAATTTATGAAGAATATGATAGATGTCTGAGTGTCAATAACAGCATTCTCAAGGATCTTTGGCCGTACAACAGAACTCTGCAAAGCATCCTATTAAGGTTGAAACGCACTGGTAAAATAAATCAGCGATGTATGTCCGGCTACAGATAATGATCATATCTGCATAATTCACGCTATTCTTGATCGCTCATGGGGCCTGGGATGTTGTGCCAACTTTAAAAAATACTATTTAGTTCACCGTGTGTTTGTTACCTCCCACTTCATGATAACATATTTACCTTAATTAAATATAAAACGGTTTAATAGTTTTTCTCAAATTCAGTGTAAGTGCGCAGGTTTAAATTATGCAACAACTTTTGCAAAATCTATTATACTTTATGTCACCAACCAGTATATTTTGTCGTACTATCAGTGGTTCTTTTTGACGCCACCGTAATAAAATATCAGTTTTTTTCTTATACCCTATAGTCCTATATTCTCGATTCCGAGAATTACTACTTTGTGAATGACTTCTGCTACAGCAAAAACGACTGGAACAAATTCATGCAGTGCAAACTAGAACCAAGTAAGTTATTTAAACACTTAGACATTGAGGTTGCAAAAATTCGGATCACTGAAACACGAAGAACAATTGGTGAGCGTACGTATACTTTCAATAAATTCTCATCGGGCCGTTACAGTTATATGGGAGGTGGGTAGGGTGTAAAAGGTAAAATTTTAGGTAAATTCTGTCTAACGTTACAAGCAAATCAGTCCAGTGGATAGGGCCGATAGCATGGCCAAAGCCACCTAGGCACCGGCCTTTTTATCGAGCATCTTCTCCCCTTTCCCCCCTCTTCCTAACTGTCGCTTAATTAGCCGCTTGTCTAGCCTAACTCCCTCCCCTATCCCCTGCAATAATTTACTTGTAAGGATGAAAAGAATTTACCTACCATTTACCTTTTTAACGGCATGATGAGAAATTATTGAATGTAAACGTATGCTCGCCAATTGCTCTTCTGATTTCTTTGGCATTAAGCTAAACACCTGTCAGGAAGATTGCTTGTTGTAATGATGGTACTGCTCACTGTTTGCAATTTTCAACTAAGCGGTAGAAGTCTTCAGCTAATGTTTGAGCTCTCTCGCTTTATTGTAAACAAAGGTATAAAGTGCGACACACAGTAGACTGGAGTAAAACGGAAGGTGTTACGAGAGTTTGTGTTTCTGTTTCTATCCTTCAACTACATAGTTTTTTAACCTTGTGGTGAGGCGTGCAAATTCAGGAGTAAACGTAAGATAATTGCAGCACATGATAGTATGCTATGAAGGACTCCCACAAAACAAGCCAATACTTTCAGTAAGGAGGCGGATAAGCGTATTGCTTCCTATAGAGTGGCATAATCAGTAGTTAACGAAAGGAATATTTTTAAATTTTTCACCTCGTGGAAACTTTCGAGCTAGTTTCGTTGGATTGCAATGAGGATCTGACCTTCAAGGAACAGAAACTATTCTTTACACATAAAAAAGACCCTAGCAGGACAAATAGTCAATAAGAATTTATTAGATTTGGACAAATGTTAAACGTAGCAGAAACATCTTCTGCGGCCGTCCGCAGAATAGAAAATAGTACCGTCCAACGTACTTGCTCAACGTGATTAAAGGATACTCGCAGCCCTAACTTGACGCTATTCCTACCTCAATTTATGGCGCATACCCTTACATTGTTCCATAAAAACAACCTCAAAACGAGTTCCTTTACTGTAATTTCTGTGGATTGTGGCGTAGGGCAACGAGTTAATCGGGCCACACCTATTTCAATTTCCTGTCGTGGAGGCCGCATGAATAACGCCTCCGTTGATAATAAGAACCCAAACAAATACTAAGTCTAATCCAGACGGACGTTTTTTTTAAATACTACTTGCCACTTGTTTATGCTACCTATGACGCACGGGTATATAAACAGAAGGGTATTAGAAAGCATTGCTTATATCACTCAGTAAATGAAATCAACCGAGATACTTTTCAGAGTTGGGGAAACAGTCATATCAATCCAGGACAATTTTCATGTACTCAATTTTCTAAGATCTAAAGGTCAATGTTTTACTTTATTTAAGATGGCACTGAATATATTGCAAAACTGTTAGTCCATGAGCCCGCAAAGCACATCAGACTCAGCTGGAGTATGCCCGAATTCAAGAATCAAGCCAAGATGTCCTACATCACGCAATTCTTCATGCCTAACAACGAGTGGAAGCAAAGGGATAAATGTAAGTTTTTTTAAGACTGTCATGGTTATTTATAAAACTCTTTTCTTGGTCATCTGTCTGTCAAAAAACGCCCACTGTCAACCCTTGTAGACTGTCTGCAGCCCCAATACTCCACCCCACTGATCCGCCCAGATATAAAGGAGGATTTTGTGGAAATCAAGTGCGCCATCTACCTACCGTCCTGTTACTTTAGCAGAAATGTGAGTTCCGTCATGTTTGTTAATTTCAAGCCCAAAGTGCTTAATCCTACTACAGTGCGTGGATATGTAATCAGATGGAATGAGAACGTTACGATTACGTTAAAGCCCTTACCTTGATTAGTGCAAAAGCCTTCAAACCGCAGAGAACTCGAGAAACAGAGGAAAAACTGCAGTGCGAAGGCAGATGGGAAGTCCTTTATATTTTTCATTTCGGTTTACATCAATTAACGGGAACTCACTTTGGGCGGCTGTGACTTTTAACATGCAATCAGTACTCCTCCTACCATACCAGGTATAAACTAAATGAAAAGGAGGCATATGATAACATAGTGAGAGATTATAGTTAATGGTAAGTTTCGTAACCCTACCTTCTTATCAGCAGACTCAGGCTCGTGTAAAATGGAAGAGATGGTAAAGGGATTCTTACACGTGGAGAAATATGGTATTAAGTGTGCAAGTGTATGGTTAAAGATAAGGGTACCATTTCTGCGGCAACACTGAAATTGGATTTTGCTAGCTGACGACGGCTTATAACCCATAACTAGCTATTATAGCGTCCCTTTTTCTCTGTCGGTAATACCTAACAATAAGGATATTTGTATATAAGACGCATCGTGTTTACGTACGCTTTTTAGTGTACGGAGCTACGTGTATTATGAAACGGTCTTCCGTGAATTTTGCGTCGCATATTTTTAGTAAATTGTGGGTACTGGCAAGTTGAAGAGTTTATTTAAACTTTAACAGCCGACGATTGCTATTACTAATCGAGAAATTCAAGCTTTATTAGCGAATACTTAAACAATCAGTAGTTCATTTAGTTATTAACTTATGTAATGTCTAAGCAACGCTTGTTGAATTTGAAGAGCCAAACCTACCCCGTAATCTCGATAGCTATCAGTAAACATAATAAGGCAGGAAATAGCATGTAGGCAATAAATACGTTAAAAGTAGTTTATAAGTCTGAGTTTGTATCCCTGCCGTCAAAAAGGCACTGTTGCAAAATAACACAGCCGATGATCCTTACAGCACGCGTGGTATTATGATACTGAATAAAAAGACACTTGAGGTTATCTTACCTAGTTAATTCACAGCGTACGCTGTGCGCATAAATTCTTTGGAGGTACTAGAAGAAATCAAACGCCCAAGAGTCTGGTTCGCGTAGCTATAATATAATAAACAATACCAGAACTACTGCAACAATTTAAGTAGGCGGTTATGTAAATTAAAATCAGTGGGTTTCAAAACATTACCTTAGTGGGTTCAATTGTGCGTGAAACATGCAATAACCAGTGTAATATCAGGGCGTGTGGATTAGATTGCTGTGGATATCACGTTTGGGAATCTTTGTGTCCAAGGGCTTTTGAGGTGTTCGCAGTGATTGCAGGCGGACAGCTGTCAGGGTGTTCTTGGGAATTCAGTCGATGAGAAAGCCGTGAAGAGTTAAACATAACTACTTTGCTTTCGGCTTTACCATTATCTATCACTCTTAAGTGGTAAACGTGGGTTTTATATGAATTATCTTCTACCTTGCTGTAACCAATTTCACTTAGCAGTGTTCGCTTTTTCATCGTTTTGGACAGCGAGAGTGGTAAACATGAGTGATAACACAGCAACAAAATATATAAAAACGGCAGTTGGACTGCAGTGTGTTATATCGACTCATCACTCGGGACGCATGCATGTGAACGCCAGCGCCAGAGAGCCAGATGACTGAACAGTCATCACGGTCACATCTACTACGGGTGATGACACATCAATAAGTCACAGCACGTACGCCGGCTACCAAGTAGTTGGCGCATAAGTAGGTGCTTACCCTCTATAGAGGGAGCTGTTACTTATCCTAGGTATGCGGTAGCATTGAAACTTAGTTTGCATTAATTACATGATTCTACAATTTGCTCTGATTGGATGTGAATAAATTAATTGTCCCAGCGATCGCTTTTGCTACTTCTCCATTACTTCTTAGGACTAGCAGTCTCGCTTGTAATGAATATCAGTAATTTGTTTATATATTTGTGCATTAGTCGTACACGCGTTAAGCCCTAAACGGCTATACTGATGAACAATTCGGGACTCTCGATAAACTTCGGTGCATTTAACATAATGCGGACATTACTGAACAGATATTAAATCTTACAGTTCGATCCCTATCTCCCTAAAATTGACAAACTTCGCATCAGAACCATCTTCTCCATTAACAACTTCAATTTTTACCACGACTTTGCCTGATTTACGTCACCTACTGTGTACCTGGTTATGTTGTAAACAAAAAGCATGGTTATTGCATCCGTCGTACTATATATGTTTGAGAGACAGCTCCAGGGCTGGACCAGCAGGCAACTGGTAAATTAACTTCTATTGTTTTAGATACGTATATTGTCGTTTGACCGTGAACAGATGACCATACAGCTATTTCGTGCATACACAATCGAAGACCTTTTCATTTTGACCGCATTATCATGTGCGCGGACAAGGCGTACTGCTTAGAGTGATTTACAAACTAAACGTCTACAAACATTTGGCAAAAAATTGCTTTGGATCGGTTGTCCTTGGTAGGCATGTGCCCTAAGGTCGTTGACTCGTCATTCGTCCGTTGTTGCACCTACTCCATCTGGTTACAATCTTTCTTCAAACAGACCTTTCAATTGCCACTTTCGATAATAGTCTATTACATGATGGCTGTCGCCTATCGTCCACCTCTTTAGTACTGCAGCTTCAATGTGACCATAAAATGGCTGCTTACTTTAATCCCACTACTAAGGCTTCTTGTAACACCCAAGAGAAGCCTCTGAGCTTTTAAAGTTGGGCTCCGTTAGGGACGTAGTTATTAACTAGCAATAACAAAGTAAAAAAACGCACATCTGCTTTACACCAAATGTATGCAATGATGAACATCCAGCTGGACAGCTAAAAGCATGTTAAATTTATTTTGATTTCCAATATTTCTGCTTTCACAGATTCAAATTTTTGGCCTGGACAAGACTTATTGCGGCGGTGGAGGCAACCCTTGTCGTAAGTTATAATTTCCTATTCTAGGGATCATTCCTTCGGAGTGCCTTATAAAATGAGCGCCATAACATTTTCCTATATGACGGCGTTGACACATTCTGGACGATCAGTTTTATATCTATAACACGAAAACATTCCTTATAGTCAACAGAATTGAATATGCGAGTTCCAGGAAGCAGTTCAGAAGGCAAAAAATCGATCATTGAAACAAGAGTTTTATTCTACTGACGTTTTGGATTCCGTCGGAAATCCGTTATCATAGGTAAGCGTAGAAAAGTTTGAGCCATGTGTAGATAAGGGTCATGTCTCAAACTTGTCTACGATCACCTATGAATAGGATTCTCGACGGAATACGAAACGCCAGGACAATAAAACTCTTGTTCCAGTGATCGCTTCTTCGTCTCCTGAATTCCTTATAGTCGTAAATAGACAGGTAGAACTTTTCACTCTGACAGCAAAGCAGCAATTATACATGTCGTGGGTAGCATACAAATTTTCATTAGCTTTTGATAATACTAAATTGGTTTTCTCGTCCGACCTGTCCTATTTGCTTTTGTACGCTGGAAATGATTAAGTTAAAAGCAATCTCTGCTCTGGTAAAATAACAAACGAATATGCTATCCACAGTTCATTTCTTTATGGGTTTTGTTTCCGAAAACAGGCCATGTGATTCCAATAAAATTGTCATTGCTTCGCAGTTAAGAAACAAAGGAATACTTTATGAACGTAGATCATAAAAGCATATTCCTCAGCGTAAACGAGAGCTGTGGGGTTTTCCCAAGTGAACTGAATTATTCGGTCGGCTTCTTTTCGCATCATCATTCATATTCTCATCATCGTCAGCTCACCACTGACGAGTTGGGAATAGCACCGCTTAAGTGAACTTACACTGTTTGCATACATACAGTATCCGACTTAATTGTACTAAGTATGTGTTATATATATAAATTTAAAAATGAGAATTGAAGAACAGAAAGTACAGCGCCAAACACCATGTATCACTGCTCATGTATGGTTTCCTCCGTTGTGTCCAGGTAAACTAAAAAATAAAATGTGCAAATATAATAGCAAGTGAGCACTTACCTTGCCGGAAATAATTTTAGGTTAAATTATCGAAATCATTCTAAACGAGAACTTTCAATAACCCATTCCCGAATGGAAGGATGATATAATTCTATGTCTTTATTTGCAACAGTTATTTGTATTTTTTCGGTTATGCTTACTCTAGACGCTCAACAAGACGGAAACACGATTGTGTATTCAACAAGAGTTGATTACGAACCTGAGAAAGGAACTCAGTATGTATTCTGCGCAACGGACAGGGACACGTTGTCTATCCAACTCACATTTGTCCCGAGTAAGTCATGAATGCAAAGTTTTCTTCCGTCAGAAAAGCATATGATTATATCAGTGATTGTCAAATCCTGCCGATCATGACTTATGTTAAGCCATTGTTCAACTAAGAGGTCAAACTAAGTTTTTGAAACCTGCATATGACTGATCAGGGCGAAACATTAATTAATTTGGAAATTTCGCAATAGGCAGGTTTTTCAAGAAAAATATTTAGGTACTGTTATGTCCTGTAGTATATAGTTAAATGATCTACCTTGTTAATTTCGAGATCTCCGTAATAAATATATCAAGAAGATGTATGTATAGGGGTTGTCGATTCTCAGCAGAAAATGTAAAGTTTGTTATTATGATTAAAAACAAAAACAATAGGAGTAGTGCCAACTACACAAGGTGACGCAATGGCTTTGATTCTTATTCTGCTTTTGCTTATTCTAGGCATTATCATTAAGGTCCGGACGTCAAGCTGCTTATGCCTAAAAGGGAAATCCTCACAGAAACTGACGTCGAAAAATAATGTAATGCTGGGAGACAGGGCACATGCTTGCTTAAATAAAAAAAAATATCTCTCCCGTAGATAAGCTTCTAAATAGATACGTAATTAATTGGGATAAACTGCATTTCATCGTCAAATTTTGAGGTTTATGAATACACTTCAGATGCTTGTGTGCATCCAAAGTGTTATCCTACATTCAATAAAGGTGGGCAAAAGTGCTTAACAAATACAAACTGCCTTCAAAAAAAACGGCGAAGATTCCCCGCCTTTCAAGACTTGACATTTGCCTTTTTGCATATTTCTTAAAGACGAATATTAATGGCCCGCCGAGAACTTAAGAATATGCGGGTAATTGGAGGGTGGAGAATATCGATATGCGTTCACTGCTTTAAAAGGCACATTTAGGAAGAGAATGACAGTACCTAAACCACCAGCAAAGCAAAACTTTACTCGCTGAGCAAGCTAATTCAGTCATTCAATGCAGAGACAATGCCGACAAGCTAAGCGGATATATAATTGCTAGTTCCCACAAATTATTAACAGGGCTCAAAAAACTTTAGACAGTAAGAACAGCAAAGAAAATGCGAAGAGACAGTGTTTTAAAAACATAAAAGTTTACAAAATTATTGCCGTTCTCCAATGAAAGGATACCTTAAAAAGCTATTCAAACAGGAACTGCGTAAAAGCAAGTGAAACAGAGAAAACAATAAATGAAAAATGCGCAAACATATGCAACACAGCATGAAAAACGCGAGCAACACATGGAAAAAGAGTTGTGACACGGACGCCCAATTTGGAAATATAGGAAATAACCAGGAAGGCAGGTACCATAAATACAAAAAAAACTAAGATAAATCAACGGCATGAAGGCGTTGGCAGAAAAAGCCTCAGAAGTTGCAGAGCAAAGAACAATTTCCCCGATAATACAGGTCTAATTAACTGACCCAAATTATATGCTTGCACCAAAAACACAACTGCAAGAAGGTACCAAAACATCGTCAAAACTTAAAACTCACTTTTACTGCTGTGCATTTCAGAAAAACCATCAACCCCAGGTAGGTCCACCGTTGACAGAATACAGCAGCAAATTCTTTATCAGCGTAGCAGCACAGCAACCGCACAAAATGCATTTAAACGTGGACTGACGCCCTTGCTTTACCAAATTCCTACCATGACGCCTCCCTAAATTCATCAAGTTAGCAAGGTACGCAAAAGGCCATCGGTTGGAAGCATAAGGCTTATCTACGGATGAAGAC